ACCCTTGATAGCCAACAAATGACAATTCTCAAACCTTACCATTGAATAAATTTATCACTTCGGTACCTCCAAGACAACTTTTTTTAAAGAGCCCACGGTGGTTGTGGAGCATGAAGCAAACTTAACAGATCAGGAAGAGAGCAGCCAGCTGCCTATATCTCCTTCCACCATAAGTTTAGTCTTTTTTCCTACAAAGTCAAGTAAAAACTAAACAGTATATTTTAGTAAAGGATGTCTTTTGTTCGGGGCAAGGTTAAAAGAATAATAGTCAGGGAGAGTGCTAAAATACCCCATCCCCACGATAAATGCAACAAACAACCTAGTGAATTTTTAACATAAAAAGGATAACATTTCATCCTTACCATCCTGCCAAACATAAAACTATACATAACATGCGAACAAGAATTGAATTCCACGGGTTTTTTGATTGATTTTGAAAGGATTTCATGAATTTCAATAGAATCAACTCACTACTCACTGTAATCCAACGCAAGATTTGAATGGAATGGAATACCAATTCGGGCATAAATCCCATAGATCCAACCAACAAACCCCACCCATCCCATCAGTACATAGTTTCTACTTAATTTCATATAGAAAACATGTTTATTATAGTATGTGTTTACTCACAGATAATGAACGCCTTCGATTTGAATAAGTCTTAATTTTTCTGCTTCCATGATAGATGTGCTAACTCACAGATAACTTTTGTTTGACATAATCAAGCTGCAAATCATTCAGTGTTCTGTCTAATGCTACCGTACATCTTTGGTCCATGATCAGAGCACCTACAAATTATCATAAATTATTAACTAACTTGGAAGTCTATATGTATATATGTTAGTGTGGAAATAACTTTAGTAAGAGTAATCATGAATTTGGAACAAATAGATATTGAAGGATTGGATGGACCAGACCCTCATATCAACTTTTACAAACCACCATTCTTCAGAGGATTGACCATTTTCCAGCAGTTGAGAATGTTGTTGACACCAAGATGGACCATTGACTCTGACTATAGACTTTGTCCATCTGCATATGTTAATAGCCTCAGATAAAATTTACTAAGCAAATTATACTATCAGGGTAAAAAAGTGGAATTACGGCATTTTTATAGCATTTTTTATGGTGTGTTCTAAATCAAAAGGAGCATTTTGCATGCTTTTTATTACGGTAAAAATTGGCATTTTTCATAGCAAGCATTTTCATAGTAACCATTTTTGTTAAAATGATCACTCAAGTGAAATATGATGCTAAAATGTATTTCACTCTTTATTTTTTTTACATAACAAATGAATCATTTTAATTTATTTAAAACAATGATCTAATGAAGCTATTACATTCAAGGCTATTAAGTTCTTATTTTTTTAGTTTTAAAAACCAAATTCAAATAATTTTACAGTACCTTAGATATACAGTAGCTTAATATTATCAGATGAATTTACAGCTGGTTTGGGTAAGAACTTGTAGAACATATCCATCTTTTGATCCAGCTAGAGCCATTATATCAGCTTTGAAAGAGAACAAACAATGATTTATATATACGGCAAAATTATTAACAAATATGATAAAAGTTAAAAAAGAAGGGCTTATATTTGACCTTATTTGGTGGTCATCATCCAACACATGAGTTTGAACAACATAAAATATGGTGATCTCATGAGTGGGGGTAGAGCCTGAATCAGTATTACCAAGCAGCTACTTCTGCTTACAGTAACAGAAACATAGTTACATGTCACTATCAATGTGGTTAATATTGTACTTATTTCTTATATATTTTTCATTATCATAAAAGAAATGCAAGAAAATGTATTATAACATAGGTTCTGATATAACTGATATAATTGAAGAGTAGAAATCCGATAACATTTAATAAAACTATTGCTTAAATTAAGATAGATATTAGAGAAGGATACCACAACTACCTTTCTTTCAGAAGTGGTAATTCTATGGCAGTATGTCATGTTATTTCTGTCTACTCTCTACAAGGAGACACTATCTTGGTCCTCTCTAAAAATGAGACAAGGTCTTATGTAGATGGAGTATGTAACTATACAACATACCACTCTGTGATAAACATTTCTATCAATGAATAATGATGGTCTTAGCAGAGCAAGGGTGTTAAAGGTAGTAGTTTGACAATCTTTGGGTTTGACTACTGGTTATTACCTACAAATTAATGTACACCTACTACATACACCAATCGTATCTTCTACATCCTAGGTCTTCTCGTTCCATCATCTGGCTTATTGAATCAAAATAAAAAAATAACAAAATTAGAAAACCCATAATTAATCAAAATTATAAAAAAAGGGCTTAAAGGCCAAAATTATATTATACTCTAAATATTCATACACTTTACAATTTTTGAAAAAGTTCAAAAAAATTATCATATTGAAGGAGAAAATAATAAAAAAAACAAAAAAAAACTTATAATTGAGATATGTTATGCCAAATCGACTCATTCCCACTCCTATTTTTATGTAACCAAGTAGACGTATTTATTCTTAAACAATGTCACTAACTTGTTGTGTCAATGGATATCTATTAGACTCCCATTTTTACATGCACACAATGATATATATGCACTTCAAAAGTAGCATATGGGTATGTTATTTAGGAGATGTACTAAAACCAAACTATAAGGTATGATTAAGTCCTATATGTAAGTGATCAATATCCATGTGTTCTAAATATCAATATGAACGCGAGACAATGTGATGTCGTCAATCTAAAACGTTTAATATTCCGTTTCTCAGAGCGATTCATGGTGACCTCAAGAGCAGATTGCAAAATCGATCAAATATCATTTCATCAGTATGAGTATGATCATACTTTTATTGGCAACACCGAATTATCGGGGTTTTTGAATTCTAACACATTTTTATGTTTTTTTTTTGCCTTCTACCAGTTACTCATTATTTTCCAAATAATAAAAGTTTTTATTGTTAACTATTTTGTTATTTGCCACTATATTGTTTTATTTGATTATATATTTATATATTAAATTTTTTTTTATAAAATATAAAATTTGAAGATTAGAGCATTTCTTTTTATTTTTTAGTATTTGTCTTTTCTGTTTCCTCTAGAATCTATATGTTTTGTAGTCTAATAGGAAGATTGTAGTCCAATAGGAAGATCATTTATGGTAATCAAACATAGATGATAACAACCGCTATGAATAACAACTAGAAGTTTATCATCTTCTATGAAACGATAAATGCATGATGTTTTTAGTGATAACTATACTTAGTAGTCATATTAAAAAAACATCAATGAAAACTTTCTTTATGAAGGATTTCTATTAGATTATTTTATTCATGCTTTTTAAAGAAATTTTCATTTTTACAGATTATGTTTTTGTTATAAAATCATTTTTTACATATTGATTTCATGCATGCTGGACTACGTCTCAAACGAACACAGAATTTCGGTTACTACATGAGGATATCAAACTCTAGTTATTACATAATTAGGAAATAGAATCATAGACTTGCTCTATTATACCGAGGATCAGGATCATATGTTGTGCAAAACGAATTGCATATAATTCTTCAAAGGCGGTACAAGAGCTTTTGCATAAACCGATGCTCAGTTGTTTCATTTGTTTCTAACATTTTTTTAATTGTAATGGAAAATCTAGAGATTTGAACATAACAAGCAACAATCTCAAATCAAAGGTTTGTTCTATATGAAATAGATATTCCAAAATTTTCTCAAACAAGTTATAGAGATATTTGACAATTAAAGTATTCCAAATGGTTATAATTACTCTTAAACTAAAATCCATTCACTTTTAGATCCAAAACATGCTAATGACGTACAGTAAAAATAATCATATGGATTTAGGTTAAAAATGCCAATTAATTTGCGAACCCCTAAAAACATTTACCCCATTCTAAGGGATTCCCCTCTTATTCCGGGTCCTTTTGTTTCCGTTATGTAGCTGGTGTTTCTCCCTCCGAATTTCATGGAGGAGGACAACAAGTGCAATAATGAAAACATAATCCACATTTGGATACACAGTCACAGTAAAAGTATCTTTCCCAAGTGCAATGCTTTGTTAGTGTCTCCTTGTGCATCTGCATTTCACCATTTTGTAACCACGTGTTAAAGTCTAATATTCCATTTATAACCGACTACTTATGCTTAATTACCAACACCCCTTTCAAGGATCTTCATGAAATCATGAAGAATTTGTGTCAAGATGAAAATAGGGTTTACCTGTGCAACAATGGTGGTGGTATCACCAGCATAAATAGTCCATGATCGGGTAACAAGCTGCCTCTGACTTTGAAATCACAACATTTCCCCTTTCATTAAATCCCAAGAACACATCAAGGAAAACCCCGAATTGGATCAAAGAAGACTGTTTTGCACTGAAGATAATGTCTTTTGGGCCGAACTATCTCCCCTAAACACCACCCATCTTTTGTAAGCACTTATCAGCTTTGTTCATACACATCAAAAAGATTTTGTAAGTTAACTGGCATTTTTTTTGGCTTTTAGGGTGTAATGATACTCGAATTAGATACGAGGAGCACAAATGTTTTGTGTAGGGGAAACAAAGGGAAGAGAAATCAGAACCTTTTTCTGGAACGATACGATCGGATTACCAGAAGCATCGACAAAACACGGCGACGGAGAGGGCTTACTTTTCCTTGGACTTTGAATACCACGTCGCCGTTTCCGTTGGTGACGGCGAAGTTTCCGTCAACGAGAGACAGCACTTCCCTGACTATAGTTAGATTTACCGGACACGGAGCTAGGTAGCGACGGCTAACGACGGCGATCGGCGCCATATACATCGGAGAAAAGAGGAGGATGGTGGGTGAATTTGATTTTATTTTTTTTTTTCTCTTCAGGAACATATTCGCGCCATTTATAAACAAAGCGCATTTGTAACTTGTGTAGCAAGATATCAAAAAGCCAAATGATCAGCATTTAAAAAAAATTGAATCATTTGATTTAGAACCCATTTAAAAAAACGAGTTTGGATATTTTTTTTTTCAAGAAAAGACACATTACGCTACTATGTATTTTGATTTTACCCATTCGGTCCTTAAAATTTTTCCGTGTTTTCTAGATCATTAAAGTTGTTTTGTCGGTTCAATTTTGTCACTTTGGACAAAATAAAGGTAACCCGATTAGTCGATTACCCCTTTGCCATATAGACACCTGTTGACCATTTCTAAATTTTCCTTATCTACATGTACAAACCAACCAAGAACAATTTGCAAAAAAATGGTGTTCACTCAGAAGCTGTTTACACCCAGGGGGAATAGGAGGATTCTCCTCCCGGGGTCTCCATCAAAAATAGCAAAATCAAAATTCATCTCCCCCATCCCAACGCTTCAGTTACCTACTAAAAAGTCAAAACTGAAAGAAATTTTCTTTAAAACCTTCATCTCAATGCGGTCACATCTTCAACGGGAGACTTTGCTTCCTTCTTAATGCCTCTAAATTGCTTTCCTTGTCAGATCTATGTCTACTCAACAACAATACCCAAGCTTCCCACGCCAATAATGCTAGTACATCTCTTCAAATCGATCTGTTCAGGTATATCAACTCTTTTTATTTTATTTTTTTTTTTTCATATTCATCGTTTAATTTTGTGAGTGTTTTCTTTTCTGGAAGTTTCTCTAGTTTCGACAAGTCCATAGTAAAATAGCAAAATCAATTTCTATAAACATTTTCGAACTGACATGGTGGAGAAGGTTTGGTTTTGTGAAGAAGAAAGTCATAAATTGAATAAAATAAGGAACTGCAATTGCTGAGAAGACGTCATCGCGGAGTTGGGTTCCATAAATGGATTTGTTATTCGTAGGGAGTCGATTTTTGAGGGCGAGTCCTCCGTTTTGACTTTTAATTGTATTTGAGAAAGGAACAAATTGTATTTTGACTTTTCAATGGGAAAAATGCTTATGTGGAATATGAAACTGGCTAATATAGGTAGAAGGACTAAAAAATAGGCCACTTTTCAAAGTTTGTTCCCTTTAAAGGCTCGTAAATAATTTTAGGGACTGGATGGGTAAAGTCGAAATACATAGTAGGGCCTAATGTGTCATTTCCTTTTTTTTCCTAACAAAAGTTCAAATTTTATAAGTTTGAACATGCTCATCCTATTAATTTTGAACATGTATACAATGAGTTTAGAATATGTTTTTTTGGGGTATAAATTTTCGAACATTTTCTTGATAATATGTTTTTCTAAAGTCATATATGCAAGGTACAACTTATAAGGTTACAAGTCCAATTTTTGGATAGCATTGTCACTAATAAGAAGGATATACACTTCAAATATCACATGTTCACATTATTCAACATGTGCAATAGACTAAGTCAAGTCAAAGTAGAGAACTAGTATAGCCCATGTATTTATGATTCCAGTTGTATTTCTACTATATTTAAAACATCATGTACTTACATATATCAATATATGAAAACACTCAAATTCAGAGTGTAGCTTTCACTTATATGGTATCAAGAGCCAATGAAGTTTTTTTCCCACCGATTCACGTCCATGAGTAACCATCATCTTCTTTTGTTCTTGCTGCTTGCCATCATCTACCTCTCTCAAATTTTAGATTCTAATCAATATATCAAACTTGATCGATATAACTATTCCTTAGGGAGGAGCAACCATCATCTTTGGCCCAGAAACTGTTAGATTTAGGGTCTTAGAAATATAATATACTTGGATAGTTCTTGGACCGTGATATGCAATCACTTTCCAACATCAATGATTTCACCCTATAGCCTTGGTAAATCACGAAATCAGATTTGGGAATAATCCAAAGGATTTCAAATTAGAAGTCAGAGCCACTTTAATTAGAAACACATAAAATATCTTATTATTTTGTGTTCTTGAGAGATAGAGCATAATCAACGTATGATTTTTGTATATGAAAGTTCCAATCACTTTTATGGGGAACGAGAAGATGTTCTTATATAGAGGAAAAGGTGTTAAAACTGGTTAAACGTAAAAAATCGCCAAAACATGGTAGTTTTGGACACAACCGATACTTAGATCATCATGATGTCATCATGGTTTTTTGGCGGATGCTCTGCCCCTTGGAACCCCACGAGGGGCGCCTACCCCCGCCCCTCCAAGGGGCTGCAACCCAATTGGAATCCTGCAACCAGGGCGCTACCCACAGCCCACGGACGCCCTGTATTCCCGAGTTCATATTTAGTCAACTCGTTGTGCAAACCCTTCACCTTCGCTCAGAGGAAATGGGGAAAACAACTCGACCTAGTCTAAATTAGTAATATAATTACACCATAATATGTTGATAACACTAAAATCACCAACATTCCTCCCGCCATTTTAATGCGATCCTTAATTAACTAAAAGCAAAACACAAAATCACTTATGCATAAAATGAAAATATCTGAAGATGAATTTTTCATTTATATAATAGACATGTTCAAATACTCGAGAATCAGGGTGTCCTAAGATTGAACCCTTCAACTCATTTTGAGTAACTGAAGATAACATACACAATAAGTTAAACACAATATCTAATGTTTTCATACATGACACTATTACAAACCATGTGTCCTATCCATTCAGGAGTGCATAAAGCCTTCCCAGGCTTTGTGTAACATCCCGAAATTCAGGTACAACTATTTAGCCCTTCTTTATTCAAAGTGTCAAGTTAAGCCCTTAAGAGTAATTGGTAGCAAATGAGTACGCTGGCGTACTCAAGAGTACGCTGCGCGTACTCATGCGCTTATTTTGGACGCGGGCTCGCCTGAGTACGCGGGGCGTACTCAGGGTTACGCTGGGCGTAATGTTCCAGGTGCAAACCCTAATTTCTGACTTGTGCCCTATATATTAGATGCTAAGGCTTATTCTCAGCCTCCAGCAGTGAGTAAAACCCTAAGAGAGAACTTTTCATCGTTCTTAGTGAGTGTGGGTGATTTTGGAGCTAAAAGTGCCTTGGTGTGTTAGTGAAGAAGAAGGAGAGGAGTTTGTGGAGACTAGAGTTTGAAGTGCAAGTTTGGATCTGAGATCTACAGAGGAAGGAGCTGCTTTGGAGGTATAAAGTTCAAAACTTTCCTTTTCATTTGGTTTGTTGCTTCATGGACCATTTTAGGGTTAAAAGTCCCAAAGGTGGAGACTTTATGAGTGTAATGTGCTCCATGGACCTAGATCTGTCCCATTTCATTTCAGTGTATTTGTGTTGTAGATCCATAAAGTTCCCATCTTGGTCGTGGATATGAGATCATGCTTGAGTATTGGGCTTTCTAGTGTTAGGAAATGGTAATATTTGGGTGTTAGTGACTTGTTCAGCCATGCAAAGGCTTAAAGTCATCGACTTTATGGATTAAGAGGCTTAAAAATGGTTAGATCTAAAAGTTGGACGTGAGTCTTAACTGTTTAAGACCTCAAGAGCTAGGGACTGAAACTGGGATTTACGCCGGGCGTAATCCCAGTACGCGCGGCGTACGGGGAGGCGTTCCCCGATTCTGAGACTGCTGCCGGTACCCCAGCGTACACATCTGGTACGCGCAGCGTAACCCGGAGGGTTGACTTTTGGTTGACTTTTAGGGTTTGGTCTATAGTGGGGCTTTGAGTTATGAGAGGGGTAAAATGGTCTTTTACCCTTCTGAGAGTACTAAGAGGAGGAATAGTCTAGCCTTGAGAGATGTATTGATTGAGAGTATTTATTTTACATGATTAGGCGGAGGCTAGACCTGATTTTACAGAGTTCGAGCTTACCGAGTTACCGAGGTGAGTCTTCTCACTATACTTTACTTAGAGTGGTATTAGAGCTATGAACAGAGTATGTTGTATGCTGTTTGCATGATGTGATTTCTATGTGTTATATGCTATGTATGTTACAGAGTTTTCAGAGTTAGGACCGGAAGTCCACAGAGTTAGGGCCAGAGGGCCCACAGAGTTAGGGCTAGAGGTCCCACAGAGACACCTTGACCAGAGGGTCATCAGAGTTATAGCCTCGAGTGGCTAATATGTGTTGTGTGTGGTATTTTGGGGAACTCACTAAGCATTTATGCTTACAGTGTTGTGTTATGTGTCTCAGGTACCAGCGAGGATCGCGGGAAGGCGCCGGCTTGATCAGTACACACACGGGGAGATTTTATTATGATCTTGGGATATGATGTTATGATTGACTATGTGATCAATGGTGTTTTTTAACGATTATGAATGAAAATGTGTTTTATAAAATGTGAAAAATTGTTTTGAAATTTGGGTGTTACAAGTTGGTATCAGAGCCTTGGTTTGAGGGATTCGGATTCATCTTCGGGCGTATCTGAACTCAAACTGAGGATTTGAGAGAAATTTTGATGACTAAAAACTTTTTTTAAGAGTAAAAAGAGTTTTGAGACAAACAGAGCAGAGCCGTGTGTACGATCAGCAGCAGCGCCCGAACGGTGATTTCCCAAAAACCCTTGTAATTAGTGTTATGAGATATATTATGTTATGATATGAGAGTTTATGCTATGCATGCTAGAGTAGACTAGGTATTCTTATTAGGACTAGAGTGGCCTGATATGTGATGCCTTAGTCTAGGAGTTTTGCTGCTAGGGATACTTGAGAGTGTTTAGATAGCAGCGAGGAGTTTATGAGAGAGCTGCTAGTGAGTAGCATGTGGTTAAAGAGAGTAGAGTACTTGGGACTTGGGATCCAAGGAGGAGGACTTAGAGTGGATGCTGATGCGGTGTGGACGGTAGTATAGGGCCCGTACTACTGAAGACACCGGAGCAGTGCGCACCCTAAGTAAGAATCCATTGGGTACTAAGGACAAGTAGGGTGGAGTTATCGAGTGCGAGTATACTC